TCGATTTCAGTAAGGGATGGTTTTAGGATTTTAGCATGGTTTACATGGTATATAAAATGAGATGAACATACACTCAGTAACTAGGTTTTAGTGTGTTTTTGAGTAACTATTATATGTTCTGATATGTTAATTGCTTCCTTAGGGCTTCTCCAATCGGACGGCAAAAAGTCAAATATGCCGTCTTTCCTTCTCCAATGTAACGCCATTCTCAACGGCAAAATTAAAGTTTTGGTTGGTGTAACACTGTTCACAAAACACCAAAACTTAAAATATTTTCTTATTCATGTATTTAGATTAAAAATATATATTTAAATGATTATCTATCAGTTAACTATATTTTAAACATGTTTAATAAATAAATTACTTAAGAATATAAATAAATACCATCAACTAAAATAATAAAAGATTAAAAACATAAAATTCCATAATTAAAATTAAACATACATAAAATTAGATAATTAAAATTAAAAACACATAAAATTACATAATTAAAATGAAACACACATAAAATTACCAATTAAAATCAAACACACAAAAATTACATAATTAAAAAAAATACACATAAACACACACAAAATATAAATTTTAATAATAATCTAATAAATTCCTGGAAATCCATTTCCGCCTCCGCTAAGCAAATTATAGTACTGAGAAAAATCTTGTTGCTCACTTGGTGATTTTGGGTCTTCATCTTGAGGTTGTTGTCCTTGAACTTGACTTCCTTGAGCTTGATCCCCATGAACTTGGTCTCCTTGAGCTTGATATGTTCGATATTGAGATCCATGATATTGGCTTTGAGAACCTTCTCCGTGTTCTTCATATTGGGTTGTTGGTGCTCCTCTACTTAGAATCATCGCTCTTTCATTTTCAATATACGCACGTCTTGCCGGATCAGTTATAGAACTCAAATCCGCGAGTAACATTTTACGCTCATGTTTCTTTCTTTGTAACTCTATTTTCTGTCTTTTAATTTCGTTTCTTTCAGAAGTACCTTTAACCATAGCTTTTAGAAGCTTATCATTTTGCTCCATCATTTGTTTAAATTGTTCATCAGACTGTTGCTTTTTCTTTGCTTTTTTCACACCCATTGGTCTTTTTGATAAATTACCACCAGATTCTTCACTATTTAAATTAAGATCGAAGGAATTCATACCAAGGGATGGCGATGACTCATCTTGGATTGATGAAGACGATTTGGCATTACGACTTTCTTCTGAGAATGCAATGGCTCTGTTGCTGTGGTTATTTGAAAATTTTTCAATACCTTTAAGGATTGGCCAGACGTGATCAAATTTGAACCCTTTCTTGTATTTGACATCTTGTGTCAATAACATCTTCGCTTGGTTTAACTGATTTTATATTAAGAAAGAGAAAAATGTAAATAAGTTAGCAAACATAAAAAATAATAAAGTAGGAGAAAATACAAACAATATCTATTTATATACACTTACAATGTCTTGTTCGGAAGCACCGCTGGGATTTTTATTTTCAATCTGGTTAACACATCCTCTCAGCTTGGAGACTGCAGAAAGAATTGTCGTCATTCGGGTTTGCAAAGATCTTCTTGGTCTTGGTTGGGTAAGAGAAATCTCAGATTTTTCATATTTAGTTTGAACTCTTGTCCAAAACTGATCGCCTGATTGGTTTATCCCTATGATTGGATTTTGAGAAACATCAAGATACACATGACATAAGTGTTTATCTTCTTCAATAGAATATGATTGAGAGCGAATTGAGGCCATTTTAAAAGGAATATTAAAGGTAAGAAAATAAATACAAGATGGTGTGATCATTCAACGAGAAGTATACATTTTATAGACAAGTGAAGGCAAAAGCAATTGTTACATCTTGGTCACAAAAATTCAGAGATATTTTGGTATTTTTATGAGATAATTATAATTGATGTAAAGATGATGAGACTTGTGCATGCAACGGCTAGATCTTGGTCAACAAAATTCAATGGGTAAGATCAATTTGTTTTTTCTGAGATAGTGGTAAGGGACATAAAGATGATGCGACTAATCAAAGCAATGGTTGGATTTTGGTCGAAAAAAATCAATGGGTAAGATCAATTTGTATTTTTCTTAGATAGTGGTCATTGATAAAGATGATGAGACTGATCAATGTAACGGTTATATTTTGGTCAACAAAATTCAACGAGCAAGATCAGTTTGTATTTTTCTAGATAGTCGTCATTAGGATAAAGAAGATGAGACTGATCAATGCAATAGTTAGATCTTGGTCGACAAAATTTAACGGATAAGATTGAATTACTTACACTATAAAGAGGGTACCATATATGGAATATAAGATGAATACCACCATCATTTTCTATTAATTCTTACAAAAAAAATGAATTTCAACTATGGAAGTTCATCTTATATACCACCTTCTTCTTCTTCTTCGTCTTCTTCTTCAGATGATAATTATTACGAAGATATAGAAAAGCAAGTAGTAGCTCAAATTACTGCTAACAACAATTTTCTCATCACGCATAACCTATCTAATTCGGAGGGTTCCCACGGTGGATCTATTCCGGGTCATGTAGTTATCAACCGTGACCGAGAAAATGCTGCTCGCAGTCTCTTCAGTGATTATTTTTCAGATAATCCTTTGTTCTCGGAGACGATGTTTCGACGAAGATTTCGGATGAGCCGTCCTTTGTTTATGCATATTCATGATGCTATACAAAGACATGACAATTACTTTGTCCAGCGAAGAGATGGTGTTGGTAGACTTGGGTTGTCTGGTTTGCAAAAAATAACTGCTGTATTTCGGATGTTGGCGTATGGGTTGCCGGCAGATTCCACCGATGAGTACATCAAAATAGGAGAGTCCATTACTATAGAAAGTATGAAGCGATTTTGTCGTGCTGTTGTCGAGGTGTTTGGAAGTCGTTACCTTCGATCACCTGACGCTAATGATGTTGAACGGCTACTTCAGATTGGAGAACGCCGAGGATTTCCAGGTATGTTGGGTAGTTTAGATTGTATGCATTGGAAATGGAAAAACTGCCCAACAGCTTGGGGAGGACAATATGCTGGTCGTAGTGGATCTCCTACTATTATTCTAGAAGCTGTAGCTGATTATGATCTTTGGATTTGGCATGCATATTTTGGTCTACCAGGATCTAACAATGATATTAATGTGCTAGAGGCGTCTCATCTTTTTGCTAATTTAGCTGAAGGAACTGCTCCACCCGCTAATTACGTTATTAATGGGAAAAGTTATAATACGGGTTATTATTTAGCTGATGGTATATATCCAAAATGGTCCACTCTTGTTCAAACAATTCACGATCCACGTGGTCCCAAAAAACAATTATTTGCAAAGAAACAAGAAGCTTGTAGAAAAGATGTGGAACGTGCATTTGGAGTATTACAGTCACAATTTGCAATAGTGGCTGGACCAGCACGCTTTTGGAGTAAGGAAGTGTTACATGATATAATGACAACTTGTATCATAATGCATAATATGATCATAGAGGATGAACGTGATCTTGATGCAACCATTGAAGAACGAACAGAAGTCCCAGCTGCTGAAGTTGAGATGACGGGTGAAGATGATGCTCGATTTCAAGAATTCTTAGCTCGACATAGAAAAATTAAGGATCGAGAAGCGCATATTGAACTTCGTAATGATTTAATCGAACACTTGTGGTCTGAATATACTAATTCTGAAAATTAGTATGATGTATTTTATTTCTGGTTATTTATATTTTATGCATTGTAATTTTGTTTAACGGATTGTAATCTTATATCTTTCTTAATTAATTACTTAATTATTATTATTTACCAAAACTAAATAAATTATTCCAATTAATTTCTTCAACTTTCAAATTATTGATTAATATTTAATTTTTTATCAATTGGAATTTTATATTTTATTTATTAATTAATCAGTTTTATAAATAATAATTAATTATTAAAACTATTAAAAAATAAACAGCAAACTAAATTTAATATTATAATAATAGAGAATATTCTTTTTGGTGTGAAATTTGGTGTTTGTGGTTGGAGATGAAAAAAAAAGTGAAACACCAAAACACCAAATTTAGTGTTTTTTTCACACCAAATTTGGTGTGTAGGTTGGAGATGCCCTTACTTGGCACAATTTAATTACTTCATAACAAATGTATAAATATTTGACTGAGTGTATTTATACAATCCACTTGCATGACATTCACTTGTACTTTTGTCATTTTTTTTTTTGTTTTCGATAAAAACAAACTTTTTTTGTTTGTCTACTTGGAATCTATGTAGCTCTAGTGTATTTTATACTCTCACTATGCATAATAGATTAATAGCTGTATAATCCATTGAACTATTATTATTGTATTAAAAGAACTTCTGACTATTATTTTCATCAATGAAGATAAACCATGAAATGTATTTTTTTTGTTTCTCCAAAATAAAGACAACCTTTCCAAATAGAAATTGTAAACATACATGCGCGCTCTGGTCAAATGCAAATTCTCCACAGTCCACACTAACAAAACCACACATGAGCTCTGGATTTTGATTCCCATGAGGTCTGAATTTTAATTACGAGCAGACAATTTATGTAGAATATTGAAGAAAAAAATTACAATAGATCTTTAACATGATGACGCAAGAAATACGATCAGATATTTAATATTTTTTTATAGTTTGTAATATCATAGTTAACCAACTAATGCTAAAAATACACAACATTTTGCATGGTTATGAACTTATGAGGTGTGAGTCTCTCAACAAATAGAAAATATTATTACTTTCATTATGTATTTTTTATTATTTTTATTTGTTAGATTATTCTTTGTTCGACGGCTGTAACTAGAGATTTTAAACATGTTCAAAAATGCTCAAAAGAACTTTTCTACACTTTTTCTCTTCTTTTTGAATTGTTTTCATTTATTTTAATTTTGAGATTCTGTGAGATACCCATACTGTGGATCCTTTAAGATTATCAACAATCTTAGCATAATAGCATCTAAGGAAATTAACGCATGACGAATAATTTCTGAGACTTTACATTAATCACGGGCACACATTGAGTTGACAAAATATTTCTAATTCAATGGATTCTAGTGTCTAAACAAATGTTTATACATAGTTCACATGTCTAAGAAAACTAGTAAATGACAAAAAAAAACAGATTAACAAAGATTTTGTATATGTAAACTATATCCTTAAACCTCAACAGGTACACATATAAGAATTCACATTACTGATGCATAGATACATATAACATCAATCACTATATTTTCTCTCTATTTACATTTACATTTCAAGAAAATCCCAACCGACAAGGTAATCACAAAGTCATAGACCCTCGATAGTAAAACAAACAAAATAAACAGAGTTCTTCTTGATCTACAACAAGACTCGGGAAAATTGATGGTGATGTTTAGGCTCTTGAACTATTTTTCTGGATTTGATTTCCTCAGCACAACGTAATGCCTTCTCGATTTGGTAACCTCCCCCAATACTTACTTCTCTCTCAAGGTGACAACAATAGCTCTCGAACACACTCACATTCACATGCAACTTAAACCCCATCAAGAACAAGAACTCCAACTCCAAGGTGTTCAAATCTTCTCTCTCTAATCCTCCTACTTTTGCAAAGTATGAGTTTCTGTAGTTCCTGTAATGGTCAAAGAGAAAGAAAAAAGAGTCAAAACCAAAGACTCTATATTCAAGAATTTGAATTTACGTAAAAAGAAATATTTAACTTACATGTCTTCGACGTATTTGGAAGCGACCATGATGGTTGTAATAAGTAGACGATGTACATTAGTGAGACTGATTCTAAAACCTTGATTATTCTGACAGAACCGGTCAATGTACACATAAGCAACAACGTAAACCGATGGACCGGCTTTGGTATACCGGAAAATCCTCTCTAAATACGATTGGATCGTCATGTCAGGAACTTCCATGCAGTCGAATACACGTGTCTTACCAAAACCACCGTAGCTCCTGCTGCTGATCCTCTCGTTACGAGCTAACGTCCGTTCTATGAGAGACGATAGAACATAGATAACGAGTGGTGTGCTGGAACCGTCTTGGTAAGAGTATGAGTAAAGGTCTGACCGGAGCTTCCTCGGAGAAATCGCTAGAGAACTCGACGACACCATAATCAAGAATTGGGGTTTTGTCGTCTAGTTAGAGGTTTTTATTTGTGAAATGAATAATCGAGAAAGGGTTTGAAGAGGCTTTTTATATACAGTCAGTAAGCTAGAGAGTGTGTGGAGATCGAGTATTTCGTATTGTAGGGCAACTTCCTCTTCTCTTCTTTTTCTAAAATTTTGATTTTTAATTTTTTTTAAGTTATAAGTGTGTACTGAATATTTAATAGTATTATTAAAACGTAGCTCGTGCAACTACGAAAATTCAGATTTGTGTCACTTTCGTCCAGATAAAGTAATTTAACTCCCATCTACTATGAGAAAATAACGGTTGGTCTTATATACATTTTTATCTAAGTGAACTATGGATATATAGTCGTTTTGAAAACATATATATATATATATATATATATATATATTTTGCTTAAAAGCATATAAATTCTATAACCCATTGAATTTATTTATATAAGTAATTGTTCCATGTATGTATATAGAGTGAGTGAGAAGGTACACTAAGTTTATAACATGGAATTTTATCGAGAAGATAATCGACGTGGGTTTTGGAGTCATATGGAAGCCGGAGAGAAGTTACTAAAATAAGTAATTAAATATTTTACAAGTTGAAAAGAAAAACAAATGTGTAAGTGCAACAGCTAAGCTTTTGGTTTTTTATCCATATTTCTATTCACAATATTAATTAACCAACTCCAAAGTACTTCAAACAAATAGTATACAAAGAGATAAAACTATAATTAAACAAAGGTGAGTACTCCGCCGACAGTTTGTAGTCGACGGTGGAGAGAGATGTCAACTCAACATCGTTGAAATCTCTGGTGGAGCCTGTGGGTTTTGGGTGGGGGCTCACTCTCATGCTAAACTTTTTAACAAGTGGTCTCAACGCGTCGTGTACTATTTACACTCGTGTGACATTCGTCAACGTCGGAGTCGGGAGTTTCCATATACCACAAAGAGACTCATGAGTCATGAGTGTAGAGTTTCTATCAAAACAACGCTCAGTGGCACACTATTTATTTTTAACGAATCAATGTGGTTTCATATAAATAGTTAATTAATGAATATAGAATAGAATGGAACCAGTCTATTGCGATAATCTATATTTAACATTTTTCTGTAGAATAATAAGACATATCTTTTGTTCAAAAGGCGCATGAATACGAGTGCTTTTATATGGGTGTGCTCTCGCTCTCTTCTTGCTAATACCAAATGTAATAAATATGTAATGTAACCATTCAAATCTTATTCTTGTTTCGTTCAATCTTGTTCAACAAAATATTAGATAAGGTCATTATGTGTAACAAGGTCTTTTCTTTTTTGAATCAAATTTAACATTTTATTCAAAAAAAAAGAAAAACCATTCAAATCTTTCATCCTTTCAAATATCTGCTCGACAACTACAACTCAAAGCTGAAATAAAGTACAAATTTTCTTGATCTTGGGTTTACAAATGTACCTTATGATCTATTTATTCCCATGTGGTAAAGCATAAAACATATAGTAAAATACTAAAATAGATGAAATTGGACGGACAAACTAAAGTACAAATAATAAATTGAGATGACTGGAGGGACAAATGAATACATTTGATAATCAATTTAAAAAGAAGTGACCCGAAAGATTTTCCCTTTACACAAAATAATGCCCGTCAAAACTATATAGTATTTACCATGTAATCATTGCCTTGATCCAAATTTTTTCCTCATATAGTTGTGCCTAACCCCACCTTATTTATTAGACCTAACATATTTTGCTTGATTTGTATTCACATATTTTTTTTTGCTAAAATTTGGTGCAATATTTACATATATGAATGTATGATATGCTTCACAAAAAAGAATGTATGATATATATCATTGTCGTTTTAAAAAGAAAACTACAGTGTCATTATCGATCTACCAAAAATGAATATGGTATACACTCATAACGAGTATTTCGGATGTGTTTTCACATGCAGATCGAATCGAATTTTTAGTTGGAAAAAGATATTGTGGTCCAGTTTGTTTGTGTCAACAATAGACATAATACCAAATTTGAACATACATAATTACAACGCCGATACTGATGCATGCCACACACTAGACTATAACATTCTGAGTTTGTGACTAGTAGACAAGATAAGAGTAAACTGAAGTGAATTTTTTTTTTTTTTAATATATCATAATTAGGGTAAAACGTTTATCAAATGCTATATCTTTTTAGTTACATTTTATACAAAAAGTGTAAAATATAACAATAATTAAAGTAGTCCATATACTTTTACTTTATTTTCAAGATTTTCATATAAACTGTTTACCAGTCAGAACTTATTTGTTATGGTATATTTTATTGAATGTTTTCAATTAAAACTTCTTCACCAAAGTTAGTTACACGGTTCAAACTATATATATTACATTGGTTTAGTAAAAGGAGGCTAAACCAACGGTTTGATACATAACCGGTATATAATCTAATACGCCCCCCTCAAGCCGAATTTGCGGAAGGAAGTGATGGTAAGGATGGAGTGAAGAGGTTTGAAGTAGACATACGTCGAAGAATGGAAGTGAAAGGACCCGGCTGAAGAGGTTTTGTGAGGATGTCAGCATGTTGATTAGAGCTGGCAACATGCATGAGACGAAGAAAACCATTCTTGACTTGATCACGTACCGTGTGACAGTCGATCTCCACGTGCTTCGTCCTCTCGTGGAAGACCGGGTTAGTAGCAATGTAAATTGCAGATTTACTGTCACAGAAAAGCTTAGCAGTAGTGACGACCTGAACTCCCAGGAAAGTAAGCAGTTGCTGGAACCATAGCAATTCACAAGTGGCATGAGCCATACTTCTGTATTCTGCTTCTGTACTGCTACGACTTATGACGTCTTGTTTCTTTGATTTCCACGTGATCAGTGAACTCCCAAGATAGATGCAGTAACCTGTGATAGATCTTCTACTATCAGGACAAGCTCCCCAGTCTGAATCAGCAAAAGCGTTAAGGCAAAGATCAGATGAAGCAGAGTAAAACAAGCCTTGGCCAGGATTATTCTTGATATATCGGAGGATCCTATGAGCTGCTTGAAGATGAACATCGGTTGGAGCAGAAAGAAACTGACTGAGACAATGAACGGAGTAGGTAATGTCAGGTCTCGTGATTGTCAAGTACAATAGACGTCCAATCAAAGCTCGGTAAGAGGAAGGATCATTAAGCAGAGTACCAGACTTAATACTAAGTTTGGCAACAGGATCCATTGGAACCGAAGACGGTTTGCAAGCCAGAAGACCAGCATCAGACAACAGATTGAGAGCATACTTTCTCTGAGAAACAGAGATACCAGCTGCAGTTCGAGCTATCTCCAGACCCAAAAAGAAACGAAGATCACCTAAATCCTTGATCTTAAAATTCCGGTGAAGCGTGTCTTTGAGAGTCTTCACTGCAGAGTCATCATTACTAGCAATCATAATATCATCTACGTAGATGAGTATTGCAGTAAAGGAACCACCAGAACGGCGAACAAACAACGTGTTATCAGAAGGAGACTGAACATATCCAGCCGCAAAAAGAACATCAGTGAGACAATGATACCACTGACGTGAAGCTTGCTTTAATCCATAAATGGATTTCTTCAAACGGCAGACATGATTAGGTGGCAAAGTAACACCAGCTGGAGGAGTGTAGCCTTGAGGAAGACTCATGTATATCTCCTCATCCAAAGCACTGTGAAGGAAAGCATTAGAAACGTCCATCTGAGTAAGCTTAAGACCCTTAACAGCCGCAATGCTCAAGAGTAACTTGACAGAGGCCAATTTTGCCACTGGTGAGAAAGTATTTGTGTAGTCAACACCTTCTTGCTGAGTGTAGCCCTTGGCTACCAGACGAGATTTACGTCTTTCAACACTGCCATCAGCTTTGTATTTAGTGGTGAAGACCCACTTACATCCCACAACATTCTTGCCAAGAGGAAGAGAAACAACATCCCAAGTTCGATTATCTTCCATAGCCTGCAATTCAACATTAGTTGCTTCCCGAAATTCTGGTGACAACATGGCCTGCTTGAAGGTTGTAGGCTCAGAATCAATGGAATAAGAAAGAAGGTGATGTTGATATAGAGGTTTCAGATTAGAGTAAGTATGAACTGAATCAAGCGGATAAAAAGAAGAAGTAGAAGGAAGAGGTGTTTTATGAAGAAAAGAACAGTGGTAATCAGAAAGATAACCTGGAGTATGAGCAGTACGTTGTGGTCTTGTACGCAATAACTGGCTTTGTCCTGTCACTATTGGTACTGGTTCTCGAGAAGTAGTCACAGATGGTAATGCAGAGGATGATGAAGATGCAGGTAAAACAATAGGATGAACTTGTAAAATATTGTCTAAACTAGCAGGTGTAGACAATGGTAATATAGTTTTGGGAAACAAATCATCAGGAGAAACAGAAGAATTGAGTGTGTGAAATGGAAAAATATCCTCTTTGAAAACAACATTGCGAGAAACAAAAACTTGTTGTGTTTCAGTGTTTAAGACTTTGTATCCTTTGTAACCCGAACAATAACCAAGAAAAATGCAAGCATCAGCTCGAGAAGAAAACTTATGACGATCTTTATCTAGTGTAGAAACATAGCATAAACAGCCAAAAGAACGCAGGAAAGAGTAATCAGGTTGTTTACCAACTAATTTTTCATATGGAGATTGTTTGGCAAGTAACAAAGAAGGTGTGCGATTGATGAGAAAAACAGCTGTTGAAATGCAATCAGTCCAATAGATCAAAGGGACACCAGATTGAAAGAACAAAGCTCTAGCAACATTTAAAATATGCTGATGCTTACGCTCAACAACAGAGTTCTGTTGTGGAGTATAAGCACAAGAATATTGATGAATCATACCATGTTTCTGTACTATATCACTAAATGCAAGTTCAGGAGCATTATCAGTTCGAATAGATTTAATGACTGAGTTATATTGCCTTTTTAGATGTTGAATGAAAGATGGAAAAACTGTTGAAACATCACTTTTATTTTTGAGAAAGTAAATCCAGGTTATACGGGTACAATCATCGACTAGTGTT